TGTGCACACATACTGCTTTTTGTTAAAGACCATGAAAAAATTTGAGCTAAATGACTTTGGGTGGGTTTTTTTTTTCTTTTTTGGGTACTAAAACAAAAATTATGCTTACAAAGAAAAATAGAGACTTCATATGTGTTTCTAAAGAAGAATAGGAACTCAGTGTAGGAAAAGGACAGGAAGCATCTTGTGTCCCTATAGATCAGCGGTTCTCAACCTTCCTAATGCCGTGACCCTTTAATACAGATCCTGTGGGTTGTGACCCACAGGTTGAGAACCGCTGCTGTAGATTGTAAACTGGAACAATGAGAATGCCTGGCAGAGGTGGTTGCTGGTCAGCTGCAGGGTTACTGCCCTGTGAGCTGTGTTCAGGGAGGCATGCCAGGACGCTGGCAGACAGAGGCAGAAGCCACGCCTGGACTGCCGAGGCCCTTGGTATAGTCAACAGGACCTGGGAGCACAAACAAGAGGGTGATTGTGGGATGGCAGGGCAGGATCCTGTACAGGCCAAGCCCTCTTAGAGCCTGATCTTGAGGCCTTTTTCTCTACCGCCTCTGCTGCAGCTGGGCCACCAGCTTGGGGCTCGTGGTAGCAGTCACAGGGCTGACCTGTGGCTGTGTCTCCAGGTAGAAAAGCATCATTAGCCTTTAGTGTCAGGTTTCCCCTGGGAGAAGCTGGAGAGCACATCTGATGGGTGACAAGCCAGGGTAAACTCCCTGTTCAACGCTTTAGGGACCATCAGAGTCTTGGGCCAGAGAGAGGAGGGGAGGAGTTGGCTGGTGCCTGCCTTCTGCCTTTCCCACCTGGTTTCTTCTGGTCTCTGGGAGACAAAGGCAGTGGTGAGGTGGGCTGTTGGGCATAAGGGGAGATTGTCACCTTCCTCTTTCATTCTTGTTCTGACTCCCCCACTCCTACCCAGAACTCTGGTAGCTAAGAGTTGGTGACTGAGTGGAGGGGTTGGCGTGGAGCTGCTGAGAGTTGGCAGGACATTCATCTGCTGTCCTTTCCTGGGTGCTGACCCCAAGCATGGCCAGGGCACCTGGAGCAGGCTTTCTCTTAGCCAGCTGTGAGTCCAACCACAGGAACTGTTTGAAAATGCAGCTTTTATTATTATCAAGGTATCATGGGACCAAGAGATCAGGAGGCCATTGAAAAGATAGTTTATTGTTCACAGCTTCCAAGAAGAGGGGCACGTCTTGCCAGGCAGAGCCATGCAGGGCCACCAGGGAAGCTCCAGCATAGTCAGAGGCAGAAGTGGGTAGAAAATGTGGGCGTGAGCCTTTGTTGTGGTTTCTACAGGGAGGAACGGGCAAAGCAGGTCATGGTTTTAGGATTGGCTAGGGCTGTCCTGAGTTGTCTGGCGCCTGCCCTGGGAAGGTTAGGGCAGGGGATAGTGGCCCTCAGTAGAAGAGCTAGATGAAGGACTTCTCTCAGCATAGGTATGAACTTGGATTGATTTGGTTGTGTCTGAGAAATGCATTCAGAGGGGATTATTGGCTGTCTTCAGGGCTTAACTCTCCTTGGGAACTGCAGTCCTTCTGGGGTTAGCAAGGCCCCCAGGTATGGAAATGTCAGAAGCACATGACTGTTGAATGTGCCAGCCTGAAAGGGACAGGTGCAGGGCCACGTGGGACGGAGAATATGAAATCTTTGGGCATTCTGAGGAGAAGCAGCCAGCTGCTTGCTTTGGGTGGCTTGGTTCTGTTTGGTATCTTCAGGGGTGTGCCAAGCAGGAGGGGAGGGTCAGAGAAGTCTCAGTGAGGGGAGAGGGCTTTGGGCTGAGCTACCAAAAAATGAGCCCAGTTAGACACTGTCCAGTTAGGCAGTGATGGGTGACGTCAGCTGCAGGCAGAGTCCTCCTTAGACAGAGGCCCAGGATGGGAAGAGTATCTGAAGAGGCTTAGCGGGAGAAATGCCTGGAACACTCAAGTGAGGCTGAAGTGAGCTGTTGGCTGCCAAGCTGGCAGCTTGAGCTGGCCGGAGTGGTTTTGCACTGTAGGAGTTCTCCCAGTAAATTCATAGACTCATGTAGAATGCCTGTGCTTGGCTGTTTATCATAGTCACAGAGCATAATTAACAGGCTTGGATGCTGATATAAATTTATTCTGGATGAAAAAAAAAATGCATCATAGCAGGGCTTGAAATCTCAGTGCCTTCCAGGCCAGGAGGTAATGCTGGTGAGTGGAGAAGGCTCTGGGGACCTCAGCGGACAGTGATGCCTTGACAAAAGGAGTTGGTGCCTCTGGGCTCTGGCAGATCCCTTCAGGGGACCAAGGTCTAGAGTTGCCAGATCTTCCTAGGGTTGGAAATTCAGGTTTTTGTGAAATCACCTGATTTTTATGAAATTGCCTGGTAACTTGGCAGTGGGTCAGGAAGAGGTAACTCCTTCCTGTCTGCAGGATGAAAGGCACCATGAGACTTGGCACGTGGACCCTTGGTGGACTCTTTCTACTCTGCTTATGTCACGCCAATTGAGCTGTAAATGTCAAAGAGGAAATGGGCCTACAATACAGTGTGCCTATATTGGGAAACTGAGGCACAACAGATCAGGCATCCAAAGACCTTCCCTCAAAGTCTCAGGCAGGCCACCCTCTGTGCTGTGTCTGCATTTTCTCATTTGCAAAACTCATCCACTCTTGCGTTAATCCAGCAAATGTCGAGCGTCTGCCGCCAAGACTGAGACTTCACTCCCACAAACAGAAAAACTTGGTGGGAGGCTGTTCAAAACTGTATTTCTGTTGTAGTTATTTTTCAGCAAAACAAAAACTGAAAGGTTCTGTGCTCGGTCTCTTCCTTTGCTGTCACTGTGTGGGTGAAGAGCACATGAGGAAATGCTGGGGGCTGGGGGGGGCGGGAGCACAGGGCTGCGCTCAGGGGTTGTGCTGCACATGCTGCCTTGCCTGGGTCTTCTCCATGTCCTTGGCTGTGAGATCAGAGGCTGAGACTTGGCCTTCCTGACCCGGGAAGCGCTCAGTGCCTAGTGCGGTGCAGATACTGAGCAGACACACAGATGTGCCCTAGGGGAGTGAATTGCATGTAGCCGTGTGTCGTTTTGGTAGATGACATTTTAGCCACAGTGACCTCAGGTACAGCTACATTATAATCACAGTATTTAACAGTGGAAGTGAAGAGAGCTGGGCAAATGGAATCTATAAAATGACTACACTAATCAGGCCAGGCTGCTATACCAAAATACCATAGACTGGCTAGTGTCAACAACAGAAACTTCTTTCTCACAGTTCTGGAGATTGCAAATCCACATCTAGGTGCTGGCAAACCCAGTGTCTTCCTGACTTGCAGGTGGCCACCTTCTTGCTATGTCCTCACATGGCCTTTTCTCACTGCGTGCCTGTGGAGAGAGCGGGATTACTCTTCCTCTTCATGTAAGGTCGCCAATCCTATCAGATTAGGACCCCACCCTTGTGACCTCATTTAACCTTAATTACCTTTTAAAACCTCTGTCTCCAAATAATCACATTGAGGATTAGGGTTTCAACATATACATTTTAGGGGGACCTAAATTTCATATCAATTATCTAATGTTATGATGACATGGTTATTGGGTCCATGAGATTTTTTTGGTCAGTTTCTTCATGCCTTTTAGCAAAAGCTGAGAGGTCTCCTTACAGACTGTCAGACCTCTCACAGAATGCTGTGGTTGGGTGTACACTGGGATGGAGGTGAGGGCATGGTGAAGGGCAGGGTGAGGTAGTGTCCCCAACAATCCATAGGGGTGTTATACTGTGCCTGGGGAAACATCTCACATTTCGTGCTCTTAGAAAACAACCCTGTGCTCAAAGTGCTTGCAAGTGTAGTCCCTGCTTGTTGTGCTTGTTGTGTATATCCTCAGACCCACGAGACAAGGACAGGTTGTGAATCCTAGTTGCCTTATGCAATAAAAAGATTATGGTGCTTTTTTATTCATTACAAATAAAAACAATATTAAAGTCTATATACTTATGTTTTAGAAAGTCTTTATCAAATGTGCATACCTTTTAAAAAACAATTATTCATTCTCCCCTCTTGCTTTGAGAGGTTGATGATATCCTCACCCTGCTATGGCCTAAAGCATAGTTTGCTCTGTCCTTTCAGTAATATAGCACTGTGTGTGCATGTATGTGCGATTATGTGTACCTGTGTGTGTGCACGCGCGTGCGAGACATTCTTTCACAAATCAATGTTAAGCTCAGAGCTATCCCAAAATAGGATACTGCCAAGAGCAAGATTGTAGAGCATCATCGGGCTGTATGCGGCAGTGAGTGACCTCTACAAGAGGCTGGATTCTGCCTCTGGAATCCCTCTGATGGGATTCTGCAAGATTTGTCCATGGGCATTGCCTGTGGGGACAGTACCACAGCACTTCATAAATTACTCCAAGGAAAGTCGTGGTTCACCTGCCATAGCTGCCTCCAAGTGCAATCAATGCACCTGCTGTCTACGTGGCACAGGGATTTAAGGCAGGAGGCAGAGAGCACCTTTTCCCTGTAGACTTGCAAAGGGGGTTAGGTAGGCTGAAAGTAATGACCTGCCTGTGAATCTGACAGGAGCACCAGGGTTAATGTCGCCCTCCTTGTTGAGAATGTCCTTTTGAAATATGTTCTAGGGTATCGCTCCCGTCCTATTAATTATGTCACAAACTTAGCAAAGCTGAATAATTAATGATCGTAGGGCACTTGGAACTATAAAATGTCA